CCACGAAATCTGCACATCGAGATTCACAAAGTGCTGCGCCTGCCACGCAATCTGCACATCGAGATTCACAAAGTGCTGCCCCTGCCACGAAATCTGCACATCGAGATTCACAAAGTGCTGCGCCTGCCACGAAATCTGCACATCGGAGATCCAAAATGAGCAAATTGCACGAGGCTTTCGCAAATCTTGAAATGCGTTTCAGAAATGCTGTGCCTGCCACGAAATCATGCCTGCAGGTCATACGAAATGCTGCACTGGCCACGCAAAATCATCCTCAAGTTCAAATTCCAAAAATGCGACCCCTCTCACGAATTCAGCCGTTTCACCTCAAAATATCGCATCCATGGTGCGGATTCCCTGCGCCTGCCACGCGAAACGCAGTCCTGCGAATGACACACGCCTGCCAACGTTTTTGCAACGTCCACAAAACACTGCGCCTGCCACGAAATTTGCAAAGTCTCCGATTCCTTGCACCTGCCACGTAAAATGACCTTTTCGAGGCTCCAATGTGTCGAATTCCTTGCGCCTGCCACGCAAAATGCACTTCATGTCCGAAAACGAGCACGGCACCTGCACAAAAGCTTTGTCCCGGAAGCGTGAAAACCGGGACACCCACTTTATGCGAGCCTGCGCAGTCGAAATGGACATGAGGAATTAAAAAAGTAACTTTTGTGCGAGCCGGCCCACGCAAAATGCCGCAACCACACGCGCGAACCCTGATCTAAACCCGGCCCTTATATAACTCTTACCGTAAGAACCCCTTAGTGCGGAGCACTATTTGGGGAAAAATGGTAGCGAATTTGGAATTCAGACGTGTACCTAACAGAGGCCAGATCCGTGTTTACACATAAAGGACAAGTCACAGGAAGGTCAGCCTCACGAATAGGATGGACAACAGACATATGACGAAGTAGAGTGACTCTGCTAGGCCAGACACCAGAACAAACAGGACAGGGGTATGGACGAGGGCAAGCATCATGATCCCATGAAAGATGACGGCTACGTGCACTTCCACGATCAAAGGAGCGAGGGCACAAATGGCAATCAAAGCCGCCAGCCGTAAAAGTACCTTCACGATGCGTAAGGAGTTTATGATGGGACAAACCTTGTTGGGTAGAAGAGCGTTTACCACAACCAGGAATAGTACAAACAAAATTCCCGTCAGCTATATCACGGGCGCGAGGCGCCCCAGCATTTTGCCAATACTTAGATTTGACGGGGGCGACAGGAGACAAGGTTTGAGTAGCTTGGCGATCTAACATATCTTGAATATACCATGCAGGGGCAGCTTGCTTCCGAGCAATACGTCTAGGAGTAAGACCAGAGTGAGGTGGTGCCTCTGCAGATGCAGCAGCAGTCCCAACGACCGATACGGAGACAGACCGTCCGCAAGGCTTCACTCAGGAGGACCAGATCATGGGATAAGGCTGACCAGGAGTCAGCCAGGTCAGAGAGCAGATCATCAAACATAGTTTGAGGATAGTGGTCAAACTTGTTTCAGATGAAATCCGATATAACCTGACACAAGGCAGTCTGTCCACCAGAATCAAGTTCCAGCTGCAGGAAAGCAGACTTGGGAGCCAACTCAGAGCGAAGCCGCAGAGCAGCCAACTCAAGACGACGCCCGTGGCTTAGCTTAACATGGACAGGCACAGCGACGCGCCGTATATGTGCTAGGCTCGCCTTCCCCATCAGGCGGAGCAACACCCTGTCGGCGAAGGCAAGGAGTGAACCACACAGCCACTTCACGAGTCAATTTGCGCCAAGACGGACGACCCTCAGCAGACTGACAATACTGAAGCCAACCCTCTTTAGGAAGACCAACCGCAATCATATCTTTGACGTAAGCTTCCCGTAAGCGTTTCGCGGGCAGTGTCCCAGGGGGTCGAGGAGCACCAGCGCCCGGCGCAAGAGTAGCAAACAAGAGCTTCTTGGGAAGACGATAATCCGGCATACGAGCCACATGCCCGAGCCAGCGAAGCCGAGCTTGTCGGACCAGATCATCAATTGAGGGGACCCCAATGGGAACAGTGCATGTTTGAGGAATTTGGCTACGCAGATGCTGACACTTTGGTCTCTTTGGCTGCTAAGGCCTGCAATTTCCAGACCCATGCTTTCGGTTGCCAAAACTAAGGCCTTGTCTACTGCCACGGATGCCCCTCGCGACATACGGGTTGCGTCGTGCGACGGCACTGACGCTGTTGCCTTTTGCCCTACATTTGAATACGTTGGGGTTATCATTCACCAAGATGGTTCTGGCGATGCCGCTGTCCTTCACCGGCTTCACAAAACGGGGTGCGATCCATGGAGGTTGGGGTGCCCAGAACATCCACTCACTTAGAGACGAGACTAAACACTACCCCTTTGTGACTCCAGGACACCCTGACTGGATGGTCCTGGTCATATTTCCATTCGTTTCTATGTTTCCACTCCTCATCACTCCTCTCAATGCGCCCTGCCGGCTCAGCCAGCTTTCGGAAATGAACATCTCTCAATTTAAAAAACCTTGCCAGCCAGGGAGGTTTGCGTAACCCCCCAATACCATGCGTTGACCTTCCAACCGTGTAAAGAATGAGTAAAGATGTGGAGGTGTTACAATGCAAACGGGAGGTTTACTCATCAACCGTCTACAACAAACGACAAACAAGTACAAATAAGTTATTAATCCCTGCAAGAGGCCCTACAAGTCCAACCTGACGCAGTAAAACCTGTTTGTTTGTTTTTTTGCCTGGTTCGTAGTGTCTTTGGTCCCTGCAAATGAGTCAAGGAACCCTCCTTGGCGGTTTTTCCTGTCCATCCGACCAAGCCCCTGTTTGGAGGTTGAAGTGAAACCTTAACCCCCACACACGTCTCGAAGCCTGTCAGGTTTCATGGACCATGGAAAGAACTGCGAGCTGCAGCTTGACACTCGTGCGACCTTCGGCTTCTTGAACAGCGAAAAAAGCGGCGACCGGATCACAGATACCCAGAAGGTCCAAAAGGTGTGTGCGTTTCTTACTTCCCCCAAAACAACACCGCCCAGCGTCACCCCCGTCTCACGTCACGCGCCATCGCTCGTCGTTCACACGAAGAATATGAACAGTCGCGCCTTTTCGGCCCTCGCCATGGCGTCCTCGACGGTCTTCACCATGGCTTTCTGAAAGACCTCGGACCAAAAACGAACGCCAAACCGAGGTCTTGGCCCAGCTGGATCTTGGCCGAGCTGCGTCTGAGCGGATCGTCCGAGCGGTGACCGAGCGGTTGCTGCGGGGGCCACGGAAAAGAACGTCCCCAAAGGTCCCAAAAGGGAGGCCAAGCATTGTTTGAATGGTCTGAATCCCAAAGAACGATTGCTTGATTCAGGATTTTAGACAAGGCCAGGTGTCAACCATGATTTTAAAGGTCTTTGAATTCTAAGGCTAAGGAAAGAGTTTCCAAACAGTGTCCCAAAGGGGCGGGACTTGGGGGTCACGGTGGAACTCAGAAGACCGTATTCAGACCTTCTTGCCTTGCCCAAAATGATTACAAGTAGGGTATCTGATGTCCGGGGCTTCTTTTCATTGCTTCACGCAAAAAAAAATAAATATAGCCATTTGGATTGCCTTAAGGGCATCCGGAACTCCAGGATACCTGGCCACCAGTAGTACTGGTTTAATGTTTTTCTGACCGAACATGCAACAAACAATGAAAATTACGCGTATATATATATATATATAGTTAGTTATATATATACGCCAGCCCCGCTAAAATATGTTTCTGAGTCCTGGTGTTACTCCGTATGATTTTGTTATGTGCCAGAGACAGATGTTATGATATGACAGATTTCTCAGACGCATTTTGCAGACGCATTTTTTCCCTGCTGTTGTTCCCCAAAGCAGTCAGACAAAATTCACTTGGCAAAGTGCCAAGTGCACAAGGTACCAGAAGCAGTCCACAGATCACAATTTCTGTGTCAGTACTCATACTGTGCACTGCGGATTTTCAACCGAAAAAGGTACCGCCTTTGGTCTTGACTTAGCGACCAGTCTTTGGGTCCTTATGGGTGGCAATCTTCACATAAGTAGGCATTTTCCACCCCCATTTGCCTTTGACCTTTAGACGCTTTTTGCAGTGGCGCACATGGTCGTGGAGAGCGCCACTCACTTTCAGCTTGTACGACTTGGCGGCGTCCGTGTGGAGGACGATGGCGCCATCCTGTGTAGAGGACGCCACTCCACCTCCTGATTGCACCTGGCCCAGGCGCTCTCCGAGCAGACGTTTGGGGAGTTAACCTTTTCAAAAGGAGTGTGCGTGGAGAACCCCGCTGAGCAATGCCACACCATTGTTCCCAGATGATGGGCTGCTTGGGGTTGTCGGCCAAATGCTTCAGGTCTGTGCATGAGAAGGTGGCTTCATCTGCCTCCACATCTGTCCAATCCTTGCCATTTCTTGCGAAGATGATTCAGCCGCTTCTCCATATCTTCGATGGCTCTGTGGTTGAGAGCAAGAATGCGATGGATGGCAGGGTGCGACGCTCGGTTGAGCAGCAAGAAGAGCAAGGCGGACTGGGTCTGCAAAGGTGTGTGGCTAGCACCTCTTCCGTCTACAAAAATTGGGTGCAGGTGGTGAGGATTGATGTATGACTGACAACCAAACCGATTGCAACAATGTCTATAGGCATCCCGTGGCCAACATTGGGTTGAAGCTTTGACAATGTACCCTTGTCACATCGAGGGCATCTCTTACCTGTCCAATCTTATAGAAGGCCATCTTGACGATGTATTTTGATGAGTTGGGTGTCACTGGCACGCAGTAAGTCTGCCAACTTGCGCTTCCAGAGTACTCGGTCCATACGTTGCTCTTGAACAGCATCATTGGCACGCACATATGGCACCTTCTTCCACGTAGTGCTCTTGGCCTTGGCAGGTCTCTTCAAGACAGACCTCCCTTTACCCTTTTTGGGATCAGGAAAAGGGTTAAAGTTCTTCTTGGTCTTTGATCCCTTTGCAATGGTTTTTTGATTTGCTTCGGAGGCATGGCGCAGATGCAAAGCACCTAGACTGTTCAATAAACACTTTCATACCAGTAGGTATTGCAATAATAGAAGTAACAGAAGTATAGTGAACTGTGAACCCAAAAGCTATGGAATGACTTGCTGTCAGAAAGAGTGCTTGGCTTTGAGCATGGCGGGTCAACTGAGAAAGCATGAGGTTGGATGCAAAGCAAAAGGTGAACCTTAAAGTGGCCAAGGGCCGAATTTGTCGCCAACGACCCCAGACAGAGTTAGGTATGCAAAGCGACACATAGAACAATTTGACCAGGCATGCACATCACTTTTTTTGTGGGCAAGAAATCTCAAGCTGCCACCTATACACACACAAGTCCCCAGGCATTGTGTGGAGATAAGAAGCAGCTTCTCGAGCAGCCAATGCCTAAAAAGGCCTAAGAGCTCAGGAACGCGGCCGCATCTTCAGCAGCAGCGAAATCGGCCTCAGCAGGAGCATCAGGAGCAGCCTTTCTGGCGAAGAAATCTGATTCAGCATCGTGAGCAAGAGCTTCAAGGGACGAGACCGCGGCAGCCGAAGGCATTGCAGATGAGTCGCGGCCATCATCCGAGGTCTTGCTTCGCATGCGTTTCCTTGGTGGGTCGACGAACTGGCCAAGTCAGTCACTGTGGGACGGTACCAGGCATGGGATGCTTGTAGATGGGAGCTGGCCTCTGTGGACTGTCACTTTCTGGCGATGATAGCAGCCAAGCCTTTGTGGGGATGGGCTGGTTGCGCAGCAAGAAATCGTAGATTTTGTCATTGACAGTGGTCACATATGCCTGCGCTGATTCATAACCGACCGGCTTTGCTGTCTCTCCGCCCTTGTACTTGCCATAGGAAAACGATCAAGGGGGGGCGAGCAAGTCTTTGTGAATATCCTCTAATTGGACACGGTGCGCCGGGGCATCATCATTCTGGCTAGGAAGTCGAAGATAGAGGGCAGATTTGCCAAAGACAAAGACAACGGTTCTTTTGAGCGCTGCGCGAACGTACGACGCAGCAGCCTCAAGAATTCTTCCATTGTGATGGACATCCTGGTGTCATCCTTGGGCTCATCCTCTTCCTCGATGTCATTTGCTGCATATGCTCGACAGCAGTTTTTTGCGAGCTTCACATCATTGTAGCGACCATGGCTCTAGCGACTTGGCTCGCCGCCACCCTGGAGGTGTAGGAAGGTCCAAGCGCGATGCGTGAAAACGCCCCATAGCCAACATCATGATGACGATAGCAGGCGTTTTTCCCACTCCTGGCCATCCCAAGAACATATATAGACGAAGTTATACGAAGTTCATGAACAGCGGGTAGAGGAAAGGCATGAGGCTTTCAGCTCAATGAATATGTGTGGAGGGGCAGCAAGTCAGTTTGGAGCTGCGCACCTGCCATCCCCTTGGCCTTGTTCTGGGCCATGATGCGAACCTTGGCCTCAGGCCATCCGCTGATGGGAGAACCGGAGTCATCTTTAATCTGGCACAGGATCCAATTGTTGGTTCTGAGAGTCACACTCCGGGGCAAATTTGACGTACCGGATACCTGCCAGGAGTTCATCGTCCGGAGGGGCCCACTGGGAAGATTGTGATCTTCGAGGCGGCGCAGGCTTGCTGTCCACAATTATGTCAAGCGCGTACCAAGACACATGAAAGCCTGGCAACCGGTCAATCAAGGAGCACAACGCCTTCTTCAATACCCAAGGGCCTGGTCGATGGACAAGGGCATAGGGGGTACCTGCACAATATCCCGCAGCATCTTTGATGTGGATCTTCTCTCGAAAAATGAGAATCTTCAAGACTTGCGTAGTTCCATCTGCCATGTTGCGGACCACCATACCCAAGCGACATCCATCTGGTAGGTCACGAGGAGGGCGGATGGGGTCAGGCAAGGATTCGATGTCATTGTGGAGAGCAGCATCCATAAGCCGATTGACAGGAGCAAACTCAGGAACAGACATCTGGACATCAAACAGTATGGTCACGGTCGCCATGCCGGTGATCTCTCCATACATTGGAAACAAAGGAGGATAGATCCTATGGTTCTTCAATAATCTCCTCAGTTTTTGAGCCAGAAGCCGGAGACTCTAAGACGCGTAGTGTCCAGAAGTTGGTGGGAGTAGGCCAATCAGATGCGGAAGGCAGCCACAGAAGCTTGCTTGAGACAAAGCAGACGGAGGTTGCAAAGACATCTATGCAGATCACTCTGTTCAAGTGCAAGTGCCACAAAAAACGCAGATGTAGGCATTTAGAACTAGACAGCCCACACAAGTGCCACATCTACATATTCACCGTAACAATGTGTGATGATTCCAGAACAAGCCAGGAACTATCCAGTACATTATGTGCAAAGCAGCCGCAGCGGACTTTTCAACTCTTCACGCACGAGTTAAAAAAACATGTGCCTGATGTGGACCAAGGCTTTCCGTCAATCTAACATTGGGTTGAAGCTTTGACAATGTACCCTTGTCAATCCGATGTCATTTCTTCATCCGACTCCTCTAACTGGGCGCGGAGGTCTTCAATCTCTTGTTGGAGGTAAGCAATCTCAGCGTTCTTGCCTTTGATGATTTCCTCGGCTTTGGCCAGCTCTGCCTGAGTGGCGTGAAGGGCGTCGAAAATTGCTTCGAACTCTTGCGTCTTTTTGTCCACCTCCGCCTTCAACCCCTCGAACTCTTGCGTTTTTTTTCTCTACCTCCGCCTTCAACCGTTCGCCTCCGAGCCTTCATCACCGGACACCGTCGAAGATGAGCTTGACGAAGAGGAGCTTGAAGAAGAACTCTTCTTATCCTTGAGACGAGCCTTGGGCGCGGAGGAGCTTGCGGAAGACTGCCTTTGCTGAATGTCTTGGATTGCCAAGGTGGCAGGAGCCTTGTTCAAGATAGGCTTGGTCAGTAACGCCTCGAAGCGCTGCTGAGCTTCATCTGTCCAGTCTCCTGTGGCCCCCGGCTTGAGCAAGAGCTCCCGTTGAATGGTGCTCACGGCGTTGGTGATCCATTTCTTCTGCAAGGGCAAGCGGTGACGACACTTTCTCCAAGACGGTGCTCGTGGCCGGTCGCGTCATAGTGACCTTGACCTCCTGGCCCGCCGCGGGCTGCAAGTGTAGCAATGCCTGACAGTCACGGAAACGAAAGGTCGAGAGGACCAATTTGAGGGTTGCATGAGGAGCAGCTGTGTTGAAACAGATTTTTGTTGCATTCAGTTTTTTGGTTTGACCGGCGCCTGCCCGTTGGTCCACTGCACTGTGCCCGAAATGTTCATCGCCATGGGCCCGGAGGAACAAGACAAGACAAGATTTGTTTTTGAGCCTTTCGCGCTCACAAGCAGATATTGTCAGTGATAATTCCTCGGAATGATGCTTGGATAATCTTACCAGATGACAGATTGAAGACCAGAATGTACTTAGTGCAACTTTGTCACTACCAGAGAATGCCAGAGAATGCATTCCTTCCCAAAACCAAGATCCAAGATTTGCACAGAAGTCTTGTGGAAAATCTTGGATTTGGGATTTGCCAGAACATCCTTATCACTGTATCAATCCAAGATTTTAGCAAGGAATCTTGTGGGAATCTTGGATCTTGGATCTTGGTTTTGAACAAGTATGCATTCTGAATGCATTGAATGCATTCAGAATGCATTCCTTCCAAAGTTATTTAACATGCCGGAATTTAGAATCTCTGGACAAACAAGTTATATGTAACGTACCTGCACAATATATATATGGTACCCCAAAAACCAAGGTCCAAAAGGCCTCCAAAAATAGACACGAAATATTGCAAATACCAGCAAAAGTGAGGTGAACCTAGTTTTTTTTTTTTGGGGGGGGGGTACCATATATATATATACAGTATATGTATATATATATATACAGTATATGTATATGTACTATATTTATATAGATTACAATAAAATACAGTGTAAATTATATATAACATGTTCTTTATAAAGGATTATAAAGGACTTTCGATTTGACTCCACCACCGGCAACCCAAAAAACAACCTCTTTGCTCGTTGGAGTCGACGAACGGCGCCATGCACCTCGTCCGGCACCTCGCCGTCTGCAGTGAGCTCGCACGTGAGGCCGTCGCCAGACCAGGGAATGCTGGGCACCTGGCAGGTGGCAGGGCACCGGTGCCCCAAGAAGACACGGATATGTAAACAGCTCGGGTTTTGGAGGGTTTCTAAAGCTCGTGCGTTGGGATTAGATGGTATAGTTTTTTGTTTTTACTGCACTCATGCAGTGGATAGACTCATCTTAGTGCGATAATTCATATTAAGGTTGACTGTTGATGAGTTAAACACCTCCAGGCAGGGTCTCTGTTCATCAACAGTCAACTTGGGCGGATGGAGAGTACATGGCGCAATCCCAAAAGGTGATTTAGATCACTGACCCAAGTTACGTGTAGGTAGTAGCTACCTTTAGCTACTACTAGTAATGCCCTTTGCTACTAGTAGCTTCTTGTTACTAGTAATAATGCCCTTGTTACTAGTAGCGATGCACCTTGTTACTAGTAGAGTAGACTTCTAAACAGAATAATGTAAACTGTTGATTCATGAAATCCCCCGATAGGCTGGATAGGCTGGGAGATGTGTGACCAGTGTTTGTTGCGTACCAGTAACTTAGTAGCTTCTTGCTCCTCCAAAAAGGTGAAACCAAACCCATCTCAGTTGTAACTCACCCCATCTCAGTTGTTCTGCATCACTGCATATCACTGCCCACTACCATCAACCTGCTGTCGTACTACCCTGCAAGCACCTGGTACCTGGAGAAAGTCATGCATCAACGGTTTCGGCCACTTGGACCGTCCGACATGGAATCCATGTCAAGGCCTTCCACCAGGCCATCACACCCGGTGGCTGTCTCGAAGTCTAGATCGAGGACGAACCCACTTCGTCGCCAAGTATACGGCCCGAGTACCGTCCCCTGGCTGGTCGAAAAATGCCAAGCCCAGAGGAATGAGACCAGGGGACGTCATTCTAAAATGGTCTCTTTCATGCGAGTTCGGCTTCTCGTTCCTTTGGGTGCCGTCTTCCCCCATTCCATGCGATCTCCCTTCCACCCCCCCGAGGCCCTCTTGGACGGCAGGTGGACGGGTGTTTGGAACGCGCTGCCCGCACAGAGGCCTTGGCCGTTTGCGCCAAGATGTTGGCCGCAATCTTGTCGCCCAACCTCGGCACGGGCGGAGCACGTCAGCCCAGTATGTGGGCAGACTGGGCGTGGGAAATGTGGGGTGGTTGGAACGTGGGATCCACCAAAAGGTTGGAAGAATGATCCAAAAGGTTGGAAAGAAACCTCTGCCCATCACTGTCTGATCTTTCTGACGGGCTACTGCTTACGTGCAGCCGTTACTTACGTTTCGTTTCCAGTGAGCACATGGAAAAACCATCCCCCTTACTTGTGCCTTGGCGGTAACATGTTTCATGTTATAAAAGGATTGTGGCTATAAAGTGAATAGGTGTGATCTAAAAGGATGTTTCTTTATTCTTCCCCAAGCAGTGTGGACACACATACGGGGTTCAGCACCGGTAGGGAAAGAAGCACCGGTGTTAGATCGAGTGTGTTGCGTGGTCGGGTCCGGCTACTTCGTTGCTATTTAGAGAACATTCATGCGGTTTTACTTCGACATGCAGATTTCGTGGCAACCTAACAGCACTTTTGGTGGTGTGATCTTCGAGGCGCTCTGATTTCGTCACAGGTGCAGTGAATCGTGACTTTTGGACATGTGGCTCGTTTGCAGATTTCGTAGCAGGCGCAGTACTTTGTGGACCTTGAAGCGCAGATTTCGTGGCTGGCGCAGCACTTTGTGAACCTCGAAGTGCAGATTTCGTGGCAGGCAAAGCGCACATGTTGTGTTTATAAACTGACCTGAGTTAGGCCATGTTATAAGGAAAACACATGTTCATGTTATAAGCAAACAAGCAGTGTGGAGGATGAAACACCAAATATGAACAAAGGTGCTTTCTGTTCGAAAGGCCGATTTGGAGCGGACCTGTGGATGAAGTAGTAAACTGGCAACTACTTGAAGACACTTGCAAGATCTTGCAAGCATGTCCACTTGGCATTTCGCCTCCAGGCACCAGCAGTCAACAACAACCACAACCCGCAGCCATCTCGATCTCAGCTCCCCACCTTCTCGAGCCGCTCTTTCAAATGCTCTCTGTGTAAACCATATCTTCTCAGCTTTGCAAGATGGTTCGGATCTTCGTGTTTTTCCTTCCTAACACCTGGGAAAAACAATGTCACACCCATGTCATCCACTGCACATCCACCGCCACGGTCGAAGCGTAGCCGTTCCGTCGCCGGAAAAAGCGCCCAAGAAACGCCGCCATCACGCCAGAAGGGGGGCCGATGAAGGTGATCCCGAGCTCCTGCGGCGCAGAGATGGAGAGGAATTGTTTTGTGTTCCATATAGATCAATGCTGCAATGCTTACAAATGCTTAAAATATGCTTCACCCCTTGAAGAAGTCTTGAAGCAACTTCGTAGAATAGATTGGATGAGTGATTTGTTTTGACGATTTAATTGCCAGTCGAGTTGGAATGCCAGATGGTGCAAGAACAAAAATCACAATCGTGAAAGGTTTTATCAGGAGTCACAAAGGGGTGGTTTTTAGTCCCTAAGTGAGTGGACAATGGGCACCCCTATCCTCCAATAGGCACCCCTTTGTGACTGCTGGTATCAGGTGATATCATGTGGAAGTGCATGACCCGGGTCGATCTGCCGCGTGTAAGGTCACGAAAACAAAAATGAAAAAAAAGTCTGCCTCCGACGCTAGAAGTCCCAGAAGAACTAGAGGTTAACTGAACTCTTCCACCTATTCTTTGTTGAGTGGAGAAATCAATCAAACAAAAATAACACGACTTGTAGGTTATGCCGCATGCCGATCATCCCGTATACTTCCTGGGATGGCCAATCCAAGAGTCCATGAAGAACCAGAATCCTTACGAAGGGGGAATCACCCAAACCCAGTGGATGGATGATGATGGTCAGGTTGCAAGCCGACATGGCTAAACATAGTGCTCATCATTTACTGACGGCTTTACTAATTAGTCTACTGGGACACACCCGATCCATCGTCTCATTCAGACTGCAAGCCAGTCCAGACTGTAAGGGAGGACAACACAGTTATCACACAAACACCCAAATTGACCTGTGCCCTTTCCCATAGGCGTTCGGGTATCTCCTTTTTGGATGGTCACATACTTCCAGCAAAAAGGACATCCGATTCGGATTTTTGTGGACCCTTAGAGCCTTAGGGATAAGTTCAGCAGCTGTATTTGAAACTGTTGTAAAGAAAAAGCACGCACACACACACACACACACCTGATATAAGGGTTTCAGCCAAATTTGATGAACATCAAGATCCGAATTGTCTGCTCAGACCCAGACTTCCCTGTTTAACGTGGAGTCCAAGATCAAAGGTCTCAAATTGGCTACAGCAATTGTCAGCCCAGCTCCAGCACAAACTCGATTGACCACACCTTCAACTTGGCTGGCAGCTTGGGGTTCTCGCTCGCATGCCTCGGTGCTATGGGAGGCTCTTTAAGCCTCGCGCGGTTGGCTCCACTCCGCGGGGTGGGCGGGGTTTTGGTGCCTCGCAGTGTCGCTGGTGTCGCCTCGCAGTTGCAGGGTACCCCCGGCTCCCTCCGAGTTCCCCGGAACCAACCGAGTTCCGCCCGGTCTCGGTGTCCGTCGTAGTGTCGTGGCACGTTGGTGAAGGCTGAAAGGGCCAGAAGGGTTGGAAGCACAGACCGCTATTAGATATACTCTCCCTGGAACTAACATGGTTACGTGGAGTTCACCACCTGTTTGGTTCGTGGATTTCATGGTCTTCCGAACTCGGGGCCATTCTCCACTTCCATGTTAGTTCCAGGGAGTGTATGTCCAATGATTGCCTGGAAGAGTCTTGAGTGCAGTTGAAACATGTAAACATGGGAGCCACAAACTGCTCTTCCCCAAGCAACAAATCCTTCGTCACATTATGTATCGCTGGAGGTCTTGGACCGCTGCCACTGCAACTGGTGGAACCGGTCTCAATGTCATCAACACTTTCAGGGATGAAAAACATTACAAAACACACACAGTGCATCCATTCAAGCCTATAGGGCCTATCGGAAAGGGATGGCTCTCACCACTTGAGATGGCTCTCCCTCGACTCACTATGTCTTTTTGGGGGGTTCATCATCATCATGAGGTGGGGATTTGATTTGATATCATCCAGACTCTCATCCAAGACTCTCGCAGCTACCCTCACGCATGGGCCGTTTTCTTCCTTTTAGACCATGCTGTTTGAATGGTGTCATCTCCGTGGTCTGCGGCATGGTTTGCCAGCTGCTGGCTCCAGTCCATGGGGTCCTCGATGAGATGACTTTGATCCATCCACGGCAGGCGCACGCGCCAGGAGTGCAAATACATCCTGGCGAGGCTGGCCGCATGGCAACCCGAAAGGGGGGGGTACATGTTGCTAGAGAGAACTGGGAAGAAAAACCATCCTTCCAAGTATCGATGGGGAAACTCATGGAAGTTCTGATTTGTTTGCTCCATTAGCTGCACTCGCGTCTCACTTTTATTGCATGGACTCCGCCGCGATCGCCTACAACCATCTGTTCACAGGGTCTATGAGAAACTATCAGCCCAAGTTTCATATGTTTCAAGTCGGCGTGAAAACATGAGGAATCCTGTATGTCTCGAACGACATTCCTTTCTCGCCTGGCGTCCACCGAGTCGAAAAAGTTCGAACTACTCCGCCTAGTTGTGATTCCAAAGGCTCTTGTAATTGGTTTCCAAACCAGATGCACAAGCGAACACCAAAGCTCACGGACTCTGAATCACCGCTGAAGCTCTCCAAGCCTTTGGTGGGAAAAGGAACATCCTGTCAGGTGGCTTCCAAGCATATAGGCTCCTGGGGTACCCCACCTGCTTTGCTTGTCCTTCTCCTCATCCTCTTTCCTGCGTCTCCTTTTTCGATTTTTAGGCTTATCACAGCAAGGGTTTGATTTGCGCGTTGCATTACTGGCGCAAGTACCAATTCATGCAGCACATGTGCGTATTTGAGGAACATGTCTGGTAGCACCATGTAGCACCCCCACATCCCAACACGTGCAGGGACCACGGCAAAAGTGTAAGCGAGGGTCCAACCTGAAAATACAAGCCAGCGGCAGGTAGCAACTCAGTTGACTGGACATATGCAAACACTCACCCTGGGGCGGACCACAAAAAAGGCACGTAAGAGGCTAGCGCATGCTAGCGCATGCTAGCGTCCCTTACAGTTGGACGATGCGCGCCCACACAAGGTTTGCAAGGATTGTATTGTCTCGGTGTCAGGCTTTTTGGCGAGCATCAGTGGAGACCTCTGGGTTTTCGAGACATGGAATTGTGGGGAGCCTCTTCCTGTGGGGACTTGACATCTTGACATATATCCATCACGAGATCCACCCTTCCCAATACCTCTCCACCCCCCTCTGGACCCCTCCGCGCTCCGGTGCACGTCGCCGCGCTGCCCCCAGGGCTGGCCGCCGTAGCTGTCGTCGCCCAAAATGGGCAGCTGCTCGGAGGCGAGGTGGACGCGGATCTGGTGCCTGGACGGTGCGGGGCCACTCCGGTGGCGATGGCCTCCACCACTAACAGCGTCTGCAACCTAACAGTGATGGGCCTCCAAGCTCATAGCGATGGCCTCCAACCTCATAGCTGGGTCTTGTTACAGGGCAGATGTGTGTGTGTGTGTATGTGTTCTTGGAGGGTCAAATCCCTGGAGCTCAAAGCCCTGGTGGCTTGACCATGTCGGTGGATCTCTTTTAGTTTCATTGCGTGGTGGGAATAACCAGGGTCCCTCTGTTTTTGACCCAACGCCATGTCTTCTTGGGGGGTTGGGGTTGGGGAGGGTGGTAGGTAGGGACGCTAGGCTCAGATGGTGTTAGATGATGTTTGGGAGGGTGTTCAGTGTCAGAGATGAATTGAAGTGTCTATACGACCCAGAACTTCCAAAGACTAATTTTAACTCCACCTAGAAGTCATAATCCACCACTTCAGGGGCAGAATGTTCATCATGGGTAAGTTTCTTCCTTGCAACCAGACCTCAAAAAGGCACGGTGCCTTCCATGGAATGTCCATCGCCAGCCCCTCTTCAGCACTGGAAGAAGCTGACCCCCAAATCAGCATGCTCTTTAGAAGAACCAACGCACAGGAGAAACCAGCGACATGAACAGCACAGAAAGAGTTCGACGCATGAATGACAAATCGCTTGACCTAAGCCGTCAGCCGTCCAAAAGAGACCTCGGAGGATGTTCTCTGTCACCATTCCACTGGTCCATCCGCAGGTCCTCGGAGACCCCCTTGATTTGGCTGCACTTCGGGAAACCAATCAACCCAAAATAACCAAAACGATCCCAAACCCCTAAATTGTTTGGAGGCCTCTCTTGGCAGTGCATCCAAGTACACATCCAAATCATTCCAAATCCAAGCTCCTCGCCTCGCCCCGAACGCTCTCGCCCGAACCGCCCGGCTCCCGCCTCCGCCCTGTCCGTGGCTCCGCTTCGATCAGCGCCGCCGCCAGGCGTCTCCGCCGCAGCACGGGCGCGGGGGCCCCACCCTCCGCCGGCGCGGTGGCCGTCTCTGCGAGGCCATCTGGTGGCAAGGCCTCCCCATGGGGCGGGACGGTGGGTGGCGGCTTCGGGGACGTGTTCCTTCGGCAAGGAGGAACACGTGTGTCACTGTCTCAAGGCCGGGCTTAATGTACGAAGTCACAGTCACCTTTCAACAAGTGGTTTTTGGACAACCTTGAACCCCTAAGAGGCCATTTATAGGCACCCCTTGGAGGCTCAGGGCACATGTTACATCATCTAAGATCTCACAGGCCAACTCCAACATTCCGCCATCCTCCCGCTCTCTCGCCGTTCATTCCTACCCTACAAGCAACATCCCATGAAATCCTGCGACCCCTGCGCCCCCCTGCCCCGAGTTTCGCGCAACTGGCCGTGCTCGAGTTGAGGGCCTGCCTTCGGCCACCAACCCCGCTGCCGCACCCGCACCCGCGTCTCGGCTGCCTGGCCGCCGCCCGGCCCCACCGCCCGGCGCGGCGGCCCCACCGCGCCGCGCGGCGCGTCGGCCAGCGGAGCATCCAAGATGGACGGTGTGTCCCAGGAAGGAGGCGGAGAGCCCAGAACCAGCCTCATCTGCTAGAGGTCGAAGAACCCGAAGTGCGACTGAGAGGTAGTGCAGGATCTTTGGGTCCTTTTTCAGTCTTCCATGGAACGTGAGTCGTGTCGTGTATCGTTTGTTGCTTTCTTTGTCGTGCTGATCCGATTGGCGTCCGTGGGGTGCCACTTCATTGAGGTGTAAACATGTGTAAACACTACATCATTCCAACTCCTGGCACTTGGATCATCCAAATGGGTCACCAAATAGGCTACCCTGCCAATGGCCAAGAAGACATGTTAAATGGACCTTCAAAGCAGGATACCCAGATGGATGATCTTGGGCAAGTCTGAGGTCGATCAACCGCGAGAATTCGATGCGTAGATTGGATGGGGCCTCACTGCGTGGTGAACATCCCTTATAGGCCCATAGGCACTGGAGGTCAGCAAAAGCGACATGACCATGGCATGGCCGCGGAGAAACAAATCCGCCATACATCCAAAGCAAGAGGAATACAAATTCAAACCAAAGGGTTGACTGTATAGACTTTGCTTTTCTGATGGAGCGATGGAGCTGGTCTGATATCTGGTCTTTCCTCATGGTGATCTTCGGGAATTAGGACCTTCGGGAACGGCCAGTTTCCGGCCCACGCTTCGATTCAGCCCAAGTGACGCTTGGTAGGTCTTCTGCACCTGGCAGGACCAAGCCGAGCGAGCGAAGGGAGAGCGAGCGGTGCCGAGGGCCGCGAGGCGATGGGTGCACCAAATCCATGGTCTCATGATCACCTCAAATGCACCCCCAACATCGCGAATCGCTATTGGTCGCTTGTTGTTCTTCAGAAGAAACATGTGGGGAGATGTAAGCAGGCCGGGGAGGCACGCACCAAAAGGGTCTTTGGACTTGAAGGGAGGGTGTGATAGTTTTGACAGACGACAAATCCCTGATGTTCTCTGCTACCGAGGAGATCCTGGTAGGAAAGTTCAACAACGAACACACAAATCAAACGCAAACACTTCATGTATAGCCATGTTTGCCTATACAGCATCTATTCCATCATATACAGCATATATCAGCATATGAAGTGTTTGGATGTGTTGGTGTATTATAATGTATTGGATGGATTGTCTATCAAACATCATTATTCCTCCTTTTCTGGGCAACACCTGAATCACTCACCGCTCCAACTGACCCAGTGAACCGTGTTCCATTTGCCCCTGCTGCGCCTGCTGCCGGGTGAAGAGTTCTCGCACGGCCTTCGCGGCAGAGGAGCTCAACGCCACGAGCCTTGGAGGCGGAGATTGATGGAACGAGACTTGGGAGGGCCTGGGTGGCTGGGTCCTTGACAGAGGACTTCTGAACCGTGGAATCGGAAGGTCGGGAAGCCTCAGCTGCTCTGGCCAGTGAGACGGTGTCTGCTTGGTCACTTTGGGAGGGCCTGGGTGGCTGGGTTGACAGAGGACTTCTGAACCGTGGAAGGTCGGGAAGCCTAAGCTGCGCCAGTGTGACGGTGTCTTGCCACAGCTTGGTCCTCGGGAAGGACGTTCTATGGACACCGGCCCAGAACAAAAAAGCCACCTGGGGGTTGTACGTGCATGTTTGTGCCATTCTGAAACCACTGTAATGAGAAAAGGTCATGTTCCCCAAATTCAGGTTCCCCATACCACCACCTCAAAGGATGGTGATTTGGAGTAAACACACCGACACATTAGGGTGTGTAAGCGCCGCAGGACTGGGTGGTGTTGGTTTTAAAAACACTGACCATGGCGCCGGAAAGATGACCATGAAATCCGATTACCAAACACGGGTGCTTGTTGACTTCCATGATGATTTCAGGGAGTGCAGCTCCCTGAAATCCAGGACCCTCTAGGGCAGGGTGTCGGGCTGTTGGAAGGTCTTGGTTTATAGCACGTACGTTGACTGGCAGCACCCCAGCCAGACCAGGCCACACCACTCGGTGCGGCAGGTCGAGTCGGTACGTCTCCAGCCGGTACGGTCGGTACGTCGGCCCGAAGGTCTCAGTCGGTCCATGGGAAAAACATGAAACCGCACATCGCTCAGGGCGTGGAACGTGGCATTGAAATGACTCCACCAAAAATAAAAGACAAGAAAAACATGAACTTACTTCATCCAGTTGCCAGAGTCGGTGCCTATATTGGAGGGTGGGGGCTCCTGGAAAAACTGCTCACTTCCTGATTTCCCCTCCATCTTGTGGATGGTCAATTCTGCCACTTTCCTTCTGGCTCCCACACAGCCTCGGCTGAAAAAAGCGGCTTCGCCCCCTTCCTCCGCGCGACAACGCGCGCGGCGCCCCATGATGGGTGGGCCGAAGCGGCATGAGACCGCTGGTGGCAAAGTCCAGGCGATTGCACATGCGAGGCCGCTGGGCTGGGTACCTGACCAGGCAACCAGCAGAACATCGCGCGTCATCGGGCTGCGGGTGTTTTGGGTGCTTTTGGTTGGTTGGAACGGCCCTATCGCCTATCGCCCTATCATGCCCTATCTGGGGAGCCTATGCAAAAGGAGAGAAGCCTCCGTTCTTCCACTAAGTCTTCTGGTCGGATGGGCCATGATGGGCGATGGGTCCATGTGCAAAGCCTTCAGAGGGTCTGAGGTGGGTGGACGCTCCAACAGGCCCAACTCAGGCGGTTTGCGGAAGCCCAGCAAGGTGGTGGTGAACCTGAGCAAACCGAAAGACCTTGGAGTCCTGGGAACTGCAGAATCTCTGTTGCCAGAACTTCCGGGAGTTGACTCCTATGCCCCCTACCTGGAGGTAGTCATGATCCACCACCTGTTATGCTGGTCAAATGAGTTGTGCCTGGACTTCCACCCGCATCCTCCAACTCGTCTCCGTGTTCGAGGCTTGGGAAGGGCCCTGTGTTGTGGATGACCTGGTGGTGAGGAGAAAATCATCCCGCTGGGAGCAGCGACTCCATCCGGGTCTACATCGGACGTCCCGGGATCGGCTGGGTTGTGCGCGGCGAACGACACTCGCTGCACGGACGGACCGAGGTCAGGTGTCGGCAAGTGGGGCGGAACCAAGGGGGTCTGAACGGAAGAAGCCAGGTGGCGAATGAACTGGAATAAGTACCCAGCACTTCCTTACTGGGTGCCCTGTCTGGAGACCTGTTTACGTAGGGTAGGGTAGTCGAACGCCAGGACACCCAGACAGGATGATCCTGGTATGAATAAGTATGATTAAGTATGAATATAAGCTGAGCTACATCGCATCCGGGGTCGAACTTGGTGGACCTGTTGACCATCCCAGGAACTGTTGATCGGTCGTTGTATACATGGTGGACTGGTTCTGGGCTTCACGTTTGGACCCCCCAGTCAAAGCCACATCTCAAGCACTCCCGTCCCATGGAGAGAAATGGATTTACGTCAAGGGTCAGGGTGGGTGTGGGTGCCCATGGTGCTGGAGAGAGATGCCGATCTCCAGCTTCTCGTAGAAGAAAAACCCTTGGGAAGCATGTTCTTTCTTCTTGCATGTGAACCTTCGTCGCAGTTAGGGACAATCCTCGCTGCATCGTGAAAACAACTCGACCTTGGATGACGTTTCCTCACACGAATTCCTTGATTTTTTTCTTTTTTCGGGATGATATCCTACATCTCTTCTTCGGTCATGATCCAACCGTCCGACGACGAGTCGAGAGTGAACATTCCTGACGTGTCTCTTCTCCTCTCTTCTCTCCACGGGTCCCTTTTAGGGCTCCTACCACATCCTCGGCAGGTAGTTAGACCCCCAAAACCTACCCCAACCAAAGAACCTCAGGAGGTGGGCCAGGAGCCCAAACGGGTCAGAGTCACTCGTCAGCCTCTCCATGAGCCAGTCATGCACTGTCAGCTCCTGGGGCCAAGTCCTGCAGCTGACGCAGTCCAAACGAAGAAGCGATCTTTATGGAGTACGTACTTCGGCATGGCACACGACGCTTGTGAACCTATAGGGGATGGGGGGTTGGAGATTGTCCCTGCCAAGGTTCTGTTTAGGTCGAAGTTGATATTAATACTCAGAAACTCCAGCTTGGGATGGTTTTTCATGTTTATTTTCTTTCATGTTTTTGTCCGTCCACCAAAATGCGGAAAGGGCGTAGCCTCCTAGAAGCTGCCATCGGGCATGTACTGACAACTCCACTCTTCTGTAGACTGTTGATTCAATCGGGAATGTCAAACCATTCAAACAAAACCTTTGATTCATCAGTCTACCTCACCTAATTCGTATCACCACATCACCGGCCTCTGAAACCCCCGAACTCGTGTCCCCTCTCCTGTAGCGCTGCCCGGTTGCATCACGAGGGAGATAGACCTTGCATCCGCATCGGCGTGACGGCGGCCGCTTGCGGCATCGGGCCACGCTTCGCGACGCCCCAAACAAGTCAGGCAGAACCGTGCAAGATTGGTGGCATATTACACAGCTATAGCATGCTATAGCTCCTAACCATGGTAAGGTCCACAAGGACTTTGGGGAGGTGCATCATGTCTGGTTTCTGGGGAAGATACAGGATGAGTGGCGGTTCAGTTCTCTGTTTAAAGAACACACTTTTTGCAGGTGGGCTCCGTTTTTAAATATCCATGTCCAATGTGCCAAGGGGTGCCAAGGGATCATATGGTTGAAGGAAGAAATCATGCAAAGATGATGATTGGGGTCATGCAGAACCAGAAAGAGTGGTTGGACGTGGTCAGCAACCGCTGAGCTATACTGAACTACTTGCTTCCCATCCAGGCAACCACTCCAATCCTGCCAACCTGAAAAAAGAAAAACGCGCTCACCCAGTAGCGAAATCCCTTGCGATGTACGAAACGCGGTCCCTCTTCCCAGTCTTCCCAACAAAACACCATCATCCACTTCGACCGTCACCGGCACTGCTTGGGGCACAAGCGGCTCGCATGCACCAAGGCTTGTGCAGTGCCACGAGGCCCTCCTCCTCCCACAGCGGCTGCACCGTCGCATCGGAGAAGACCTCCGCTGGCGCCGAATGGCTGCGGCCGCGAGCAGGGGCGGTTCTGAGGTGAACAGCTGTGGGGAGGGGAGCCAAAGCGGAGATGGAGCGCAAAGGTGCCCCACAGAACGCACAAAGCCCGAAGAAGGGGCTTTAGTCGCTGGACTTGGACTTGGACTGTTCTTGGATTTGTCCAGGAAGCCAAAAGCAATCCGCAGGAAGGGGATGGATTCACCCAGTTCCGGGGAAAAAGGAAATGCACTCATCTAGCAAAAGCAGGCACAGCGCAATAACCAACATGGAAGTATAAGGCTCCTGGAGACCCACAGGAAATCCACAAGAATTTGAGTGCATTAAATGCAGTAAGTCTGCTGAGACAACTTTAGCTACCATCAGCATGATTTGCGGGGGTTCAAGCCCGCTCGCGACAGTGATAAATCAGTTGCGTCAAAGATTTCGGTCACAGTTTTGAGAAGAAGTTGTACCCTAATTGCAATCCTTGTGGGCTTCCATTCTTCCATTGAACTCCCATTGGATGGTCTCCTCCGGTCTCCTCCCAACGGCACGTCCCGCGCCTCCGGCTGCCGCGCCAGCAGCGCCGAGAGCCGCTGGGCCGTCGCGGTGCCGCGGCTCTCGACGGTCCAGGCGCTCAGCTGCTCCAAGCGCCAGAGGAAACCCTCCCAGCTTGGTGGAGGTGCTCGGAGCAAGCCTGGCGAGCGGGCGGACAACTGCGGGGTTTGCATTACGACGTCATTACGACCTGCTGGCCGCAGGTCTAGACATTCCAAAAGTATATGGAACCAAAATTGCAGCAAAAGCACTCATGAAGCAAACTGAGAATCGGACTGAACACTGCTCAAGCTGAAGCCCCGGTGTTGTTTCTTGGAGCCAGCCCACGAGTCGACTGCCATTCGGTGGCACCATGGGTGTGCTCCCGCAGCCGCCGGCGTCCCAGCGGCGTGAGGGGAGCGGCCCAGCTGCGACAGGCGTCCTCGACCTGGAGCTCGATGCTTCCAACCGTCCAACCGGTCAGGGCCCTAACCGAGTGGATCCCCAGCTGAGGATCCACTGGGACAGGGTGCTGGGTCCGACGATCTTCCAACGAACTGCAGGCGTTCTGCATTTGGGATGGGGGTTTTAAAGGTGAACATGATAAGGCATGGTGCACAGGTGGAACATCTATGAATATAGATAGAGAGAGAGAGAGATACATATAGACTCACCTTCGCAACCGGGGTGTGAAAAATGGAGAGATCCACCGGATCTAGGGATACATTGGATAACAGACTACATAGATCCATCAGACTACATAGATCCATTGGGATACATTGGATCCATTTGGATAGTCAGAACATTTGAATACATTTGGTCCACTGGTGGAACGGGTCTTCGGTTTCCACCACTGGCACTCGCGGAACGGGTCCTGGGTCGAGCAGAGGGAGTTGGAAACCCGTTTTCCATTGGTGGCCTGGCCAGTGAGGATGCTGGTTTGATGATGTTGTTAGTAGATTTCGATGAGCAAAATAGGCAAAAAAGATGTGGATTCCTCTTTGAAAGACGACCTGATCGTGTATGAATCAGTCTTTGCAAACAACACGTGTATGATCGTGTATGAATGTTTTGATGCCCCTGAAAAGTCCACTTCGACTATCGTTGGCACCGGCACCCACCGAACGTGTTAAGTCACGTGTTAAGTCCTGGACTCACTGGGAATCACCTCTAGTCAAAGTCTTTCCTCAACTTGTTCAGGGTCTCTTTGGGAACCTCCAAAAAAACATCCCCTCAAAAAGGATCAAAAAGGGACAAGAACTGAGCACAATGCCCTTGGGCGGTTTCTGGGTCAGATGTAGAGATCAGCCTGGTCCCGATCAAAGCTGGAAAGAGTTGCGAACGGTGGAACACCATGGTCAACCAAGTGAGCTGGAGGTGTTTCTGGATCGTCTGGATGGGATGGAAAGAGACCGATTCCACATGATTCCACAGACAGAAGCACTTCTTCTGAAGACTAGTCCGGATTAACCTCCTCAAGGCTTCGAACAGTCTCTGCTGCTGTTCATCTTGTTGGATCACCATCTGGTGCGTACGGAACCGGGACAAACAATACATGCCGTTACATGCAGTACCATATTTCAATAATTCACAGTCATTTAAAAGTTATCCACCCACGTTAAGCTTGGCATGGTCATGGTGGGAACTGCTTTTTGTACAAAAGTGTCTAAACAATTGGGCATATTTCCACTATAAAGTGGCATGGCCGGCCCATGTGTTCTCTACGAAATGCTTTCCACAAACCCAGTTTGGGGAAGCTAATGAATAGAAACAATGCTACAGAATCAGTTATCAACGTGTCCAAAGATTCAAGAATTATGTATCTTGACAGGCTCAAGAGATCCTCTCACAAAAAAATGATCAAGTGGATTGTGGGAAGACCATGAAGCATCATAAAAACAGAACAGGTTTGGCATCTACAAAATTCCTGGAGTCACCTTCAAATCTCTAGAAAATCCTTTGACACGTGCACTGTATAGCAGTATAGTCTTGCAAGGATGATAAAAACTGCTACAGAATCAGTTATCAATGTATCAATGAGAATCCCACAGATTTCTCTCTACAAAATGGTCACAGAATTGAAACATCCAGACAGACGCGCATGGAACAGCTCGCGTCTGGAACCTCCGGAACCCAGACGGTGCACCGGTCCCCACCGGTCCCGACCGGTCACGAGCCGTCGACCTCACGCGCCGGGCGCCTTCTCCGCCTGCCGTTCCGCCGGAACAGCGCCGGCGCCTTCGCGGTGCCGGTGGCGGGGGTCCGGACGCGCGGTCCGCGGCGAAGCACCGAAGCACGAAACAGCGGAGAAGGAAACCGCGGCGCTGAATGGGAGTAGACGAGCGAAAGAATGGTCTGACGAGTCCGGGAACGTGATCGAAGCATGTCTTTACTTCTCACTATAAGGAAAAGTGGAGTCAAACTGGACTTCTATGGTAGAGCTTGAGGGTGCCAGTTATTTTTGTCCGACCACTTTCTAGGGTTCCAATACAATGGTGTTCCACTTCCAAAGACCATTGGCATTTCGGTTTTCTGGACCGGGGATTATTGGTATATAAATATATCGGTACTCGCCAAGCTCCATCCAATGTGGACGTTGAAGCGCCAGGTCACCCACCCACCCTTGTAGGATTCCAACCACCATCAGTTGTTTTGTCCCATTACCGAACAACCATGTGGTTTTATTAAGGATTTTAGACCACAGAAACAGGTCAATGGTCCAACTGAAGAGGGCATTTCTTTGCTTGTATTCTTCCAGAGTTGTGATAGACCCTGGAGGGACTCCCGTCGGCCACACTTCGCTCAAGCTGGCTCAAGGACGGTGGTAGCAGTGGTATAGCTACTATAAGATTCTCTGTCAACACAAACGTACCAGGACCATCCTGTTAGGGTGTTCTGGCTGGACTACCCCACACTACCTATAGAAAGGCTTCCAAACAGCGCACCCCTTGGATGGTCCTGGTGTAGATCCCATGCCCAGTGTCCAAAGGTCTTCCACTCCGACACGAATTTGTTGACACAAATGTTTTGACTGAGTAACGCCAAGGGGTCGCATGGATGTCAACAGAGTGGTCTTCCATGGTCTATCTTTGGCAGAGTGGTCTTCCACAGTTCCGTTTCATCCCAAAATCTATTTTAAAAGACTCATCTTCAACAGGCCCACAGACTCGAACAAGGGCGTGGCCACCCAAAATTCTCGAGGGGTCTTTTTGATCTCATTGAATTGATCCCAAGAGTCCAAGCGACTCATTCAATGAGAATCCAAGCGAATCCTGAAGCAGCTCCTGCAAAAGACCTCAAAAAGGAGAACCCTGTTCTCTCCATCCCTGTGACACTCCATTCATAAAAGGATGACTCAATGATGACTGAGCCCCTTTCAATCAGCCCAACTGATCAGCCAATCTGCAGTCCCAGGTCCAGGTCCGGTTTGGCTCCTGGTCCGAGCAAGGTGACGCCCGGCACGGCCAGCGCCGCGGCGGCGAGGGGCAGGGAGAGTCCCGCGCGGAGTCCCGGGCGCCGGCCCCGGTGCCATGGCGTGTGGAGGAATCCATGTGTTGCGACATGAGTCATGAGCGACCGTTTGCTTGTAGTGGGCGTGGGATGAAGAGCACGTGTTTTGTGGTGAAGCCGTTGGTCGGTGGGTTTGGGTGGAGAAATTTGAGATGTGAAACTCTCACACTCGCAAACTAGCTAGCTGATTCCTCGATGGCAGAGGTCGCTGCACCCTTCCGCCCACGTCAAATGTCGCCAACTTTGAAAGGGCCAGACATTGGTTAAGCAATCAATCATTTCTAGTAAGGGGTTGATGAACTCCGCTGGTTGCTCCGAGGCAACCGGCTCCCTGTCTTCATGGGGAAGAACCTGGATGTCCTGGAAGAGCTCCGTTGCCGTCGCGACTCTGGCTGCTTGAGTGGATTTTTCCGTCGACAGGTTGGACGGACATGGTCGCTCGACAGCGAACTTGTCACCGCCACGGCACCGAGTTAGACGTTTCTGCCCTCCAAGTTGTCCACGCGATTCTTCTACCCCGACGAAGTCTGGCGAAAACGACTGGTTTGGGCACGGAAGGAATGGTCTTTTCCGATGGCCTAAAGACCATCTTTCAACGACCCCTCACCTGTCTTCAGCGAGCTTGGAGGTGCTGGACCCAAGAGTCCGGGAAAGAAACCGAGTCTTTCGCTCGAAACTGAACATCATCCGGCTCCGGAATTTGGTCAAGTCTTCAAATAAGTCTTCCCTCCAAAAGAACAGCTTGGCCTTCCTTCTGTTTGAAAGGAATACTTCGAATACTTCCCCCCCCGAAGAAGAACATCCCCAAGAAAAACCGCGGCACCGAAACCGCGACAGACGTTTGGGCTAAACCACGTCGACGCGCGCGGGACCGTTTCGGGACTCGGGAACTGGGACGTCCGGACCCCCATCCAGGCCACACCGCGTCCACCTGCTGCTCTTGTGCAATCCGACCTTGGCGTCCATCCAAGACCGCGGGGGGTGCACCCCGAACGGTCCGAGACGACCCGCAAACGGGGGGAAACACGGTGGGCGACCCGCTGTAAAATGGAACTGGAGCGCACACGTTGCTTTGGGGGGGGATGGGCGGGGGTGGAGGACCTGGGATTCCAGAGACTGCCTCAGGTGCTATTATAGGGGATAACGAGTGGATGGCATGGAAATGGTCTAAACCACAAGAGGATGGCATATCATAGGCTCCCTCCTCATGCCATCCAAACGTTATCCCCTAGTTGTTTTATGATATGTCCCGATGTTTTTTGGCACTACAGTCATTAGACGAAGAGAAAAGAAAAGACAAGACCCGAGATCTGGACACCATCAAAGGAGTTCCATGAAGCTCCCTGGAACAACTGCATACCCTACACATCCGCATAGCTCCTGATAGGATTCTGGGGTCCTTCTCAAGAACATCTGGAACATCATGGTTTGCCACTTGCCACCTTGCGCCTTCTCCCATCGAATCCAACTGGGGCTCCAGCAAATGAGATCCACATTGGCATAGTTGTTCACATTCTTGCCAGAGGGAACCTTCCGACATCTCGCATCTTGCAGGAGTACTTCCGGTTGGAGACCGGTCTCAGATCAACCGATCTGGGTCTCATCGATCGACCGTTTCAACGGATCTTCCTGCTGGACCGGGGGGTTCCGTGGCCTCGAACCGGAACTTTGAAAATTAAGATCCATATGGTTGATCGACCTGGTTTTGCAGTCAAAAATTCAAAATATTCAGGATCCAGTCTATATAACGTTAAAATGATTCTGGTGGGCGAACCCACGGGGGGCAACCATTTAAAGGCTCCGTTGGTCTCCCGGCGTCTGCTTGCTCAGACGCTCGACCCTTCGGAGCCTTGGCGTTCTCCCGGCGTTCGTCCCTCGCTGGCCTCGATGAAGGAGTCCGCCATGCGGATGAACTCGGCGTTCGCATTCAGGTCATCCTGGGGCGGACGCCGACGCGCACCCGGTCGAAACGTGAGGGAGTGAAACAGCAGGGGATGGGGGGGGGGGCTTGGTCTCAAGACGCGACCTGATAATATGAGATCATATGCATCATACCTATGGACCCCTTAGAGAACAAATAACAGCCCTTGCGGTTTCTCGGTAAATATGCCAAGCTCCCAGAAAGGTCGTGTCTGGGTTTGGTGTTTTTGGGGTTGTTCCGTGGGGGCCTCGAGGAGTGACGTTCGTTCCGCACTGGAGGGAGAACCCTCCTGCACCCAGGGAGAAAACCCACACTGAAGCTTGACGGATGTGATCTTCACATGAACCTCATTTTATATGTTCAAAAATTATGGGGTGCGTGGGCCTCTATAATCCTCTATATTTGGTGTTCTCTATTTCGGGGTCTCCTCCTCGTCCACCTACACCATGATTTTTCGGGGAGTGTGCCAAAAAGAGGACACTCCCCGGGTATTACAATAAGGAGACCTCCCAGTTCGACCCCTGGAAGAGGGAAGATAGACCAAAGATGCACGGAATCTTCACCTCCATTCGACACGTTCCCAAGCTTCACCGCCTTGTAGCTAGCTGGTGATGGCTATCGTCTCTCCCCGGCGGTGCTTAGCTTTTTTAACCGGAACTCCCCAACTCACAGAGCTGCCTGGGTGGCCATGGCAACAAAAGTGATGATCTGCTCAGAACCAAACTCGATGAAGGTCCACCTGCACATGATCAAATGCAAACTGCGAGTTGGTGTCGGGAACCAAGCTGGAAACAAGAGTTACCAAGGAGTTAACTCCAGATTCAAGCCTTTCTATAAACACGGTTGAGACAGGTACCTTTTAGCTTGCCTCCAGAGTTGACTCTTTGTGGCATGTTGTTAACAGGTGAAGGCTCAATTCCGCATTTGATCTCACCTCTGTTCATTGTTTGTTCATAGTAACAAGTAGCAAGCCGTTCAAGCCGTTCACAACGAGTAGTAACAAGTCGAAGACTTGCTCCCGAAGTTGAATCAGGACGTGTCCTCTCAGATTCCAAAGTTGAATCAGGACGTCTTTTCACCCCATCCCCTAGCTTGGGGAAACGAAATCCCAAACACTCCATGGGACTGCCATATATGCCTACATTGACCCCGAAAACCACCCCAACTGATCGGCATATATGGCAGTCCCATGGAGCGTTTGGGAATTGTAGTACTATGCCACGTTGGCAACAATCACTTTGAAGCAACAGCGCCACTGGCGCCGGGACGACGTGCAGACGGAGCCCAAACGGATTAAGGTGGAGCGATAGAAAAGAGCATCACTAGTAGCGTCCTTGCTCCTAGTAGTAAGCCATTTAAGACCCTGTCAGCTTTGGATCTTACATCGACTAGTTCAAATCTAGAGCCGATACTTTGCATATTCTCCATTCCACATCCAGGGTATCAACTTGGAAGTGAATCCAAACAGAAAAGCCTGGACCAACCAAGCCTCAGAAAAGGCTCAAATCCAGAGTTAACCTCTTCTCAACTCTTGATTCTAGCCAATGTCGAACACCCTTTCCACACCAGTATAGGATGGAAGATGAAGCTGCACCTGCTTCTTTTTTGCTCCAAATTCTGCTGGTCATTGGGGGTCTTTCAGTCTCGTGTGACGGCGATCTCCCACCTATAGGGCCCAGGGGCAGTCTTTTGAGTGAGTCAGCCAGATATCGACCCGCCCGACCCAAGCAGTTCGCCATCAAAAGCCAGAACCTAAGCCTCTCTGAATTACAGTGGTTTCAGAGGTGAGAAATGGCGGCGAGTTCACCCCTACATGTGTAGACCAATGGGGGTCCAGTCCATTACTCCGACATTGGGGTCACTTGCGCTATCTACTCTGAAACTACTGTAATCATAGTATAGAAGTGGAAAATAGGTGTAGGGTTGCCTGCCGACCAAACATGACACTCGTCTGTAGAGTGCGCACTGGTCTGTAGAGGATGTCAGGGAGTCATCCTTCCCTCCACGTCCATGATGGTTTTAGGATATTTTAGGGAGTCGACTGAAGACGACAACATCCACAACAACATCGGATCGAAACCTTTCTTCTGACTTCTAAACAGAACAGGGCCTTTATTAGAGGGGATGATTTGATTAAAAGTCTACATTAGATAGAACGTGATAGACCCTAGCACTCCATGGGTGGAATATTGAATATCATTGACCAACATGTTTGCTGGTTAGAGGTGGTTCATAGATCCCAAATAGGGAGGACGTGTTCTGCGGTGACCATTTTAATGTTTACCAACTCTTGCACCAGCAAGCTGCTTTCTCTGGTGTCCACCAGTTTTGGTTCATGCAGGACGTTAAAGGCCCGTTGAGCCTCCTTCCTCCTTTTTGCTCCAGCAGACCCAACATACCATACATGTCTCATCATGTCTTCCAAGTCCCAGCCCCTTCCCATAGTAAAGGGATCTCCATTCAATTCACATACCTGCACCATCCAATGGGTGTCCTGGCTGGAGATCCCTAAGCAGTGTAGGGTAGTCCACCCCTTGCATGGTCCTGGTATTATGATTGGAACAACCCATTCGTTTCGGTATCTGGGGAAGGCCTGCGTATCGACCGGGGTGAGGCTACGCGCCTCCGCATCGACAGGATGGCCTTCGCCGCGGCCATGCCATTGTTGGAGATGAGGATCTGCGTCGCGTGGAGGTGGGTAGGTGGGTACATCGGTCGATGCGAAGTACCTACCACCCACAGACCTCTTCGGTGATTCACCAGAGAGGATCATCATCGACCAGGAGTCACATGGAGGCCAGGGTGGTCTTTAGTCGTCCCATCCAGTGAGTGGAGACTGGGTGGATCTGGGTGATTCACGAGAGAGGATCATAATTCCCAAACACGACCCATGGGACTGCCATAGGACTGCCGATCAGTTGGGGTGGTGCCAGGGGGATCAATGGAGCGACATATATGGCAGTCCCATGGAGTGTCTGGGATTAACAAATCAACCATACCAGCACCTTCAAAGACGTCACCTGCCTGGAAAGTACCGAGAGAGGTCACCAACCATACCATACCAGCACCTTCAACCATACCAGCACCGCTCCTCTAAGGGGTCACCTGGCTGGTTTCGCCCCAGCCCACCACTAAGGGACCTCCACCACCCCTTGAAGGTCCAGGTAATTCCAGGTATATGTTTCTCAGTGGTGCTCCTTTGAAACGTCGGGTGTTTTGTTGGGCGAAGGGAGGTGCAAAGGGCGTTCACCCTGAAACTGGAGATACGGCAAGAACAGAAACCTTCTGCGGCAGAGAATGCTACATACTTCCAGGATCCAGTCGTACCTTCTCAGCTTCGCTACGACCTCCACATCCCAGTCTCTCCTCACCTCACCTCACCTGAGGCTTCGCACCACCACGGAATGTTCGAACCGGGCGACTTTCTACTCCACATGGGACTGACCCGAAACGCAACTCTTCCAGTTCCGAACCGCCCACCGGTCATTCCGAGGAACGCCCGCCGAACCGTTGAAGGCATCGCGGGGCGCTTCAGGGCGCAGGGGGGGGGGGGTCCGATCTCGCCGTGCGATCACCCAAGAAGGATCCCAATCATAACCACTGAGAGCAACGCAGCAAGATTCACCAGCAAGTACCCAGAGATGACATGGAGTTTTTACACCAACAGACCACTGAAATCAGCCCGCGAGGTGTATGATTTAGTGGTCCTGGGAGTCCAAGACGGTTCCTTCAAATGATCTACAAACGTTGCTCCGGGTCCAGGAAGTTCCGAATTTCATCGCTTTCCTCCCACTCAGAAAAACGATCGTTACTTCACTGGACCTCGGGCGCCTGACCCAAGTCGGGCGCCTGACCCAGTCAAACCTGCTCAGCCTGAGCTCCTGGGAGCTCGCGCCTTTGTACGACCCACTGCAGGACCCTTCATCCGGAACCCGGAACGACCTGACCGGGTAGGGTATCATTCTAGGTCTCCATGCCAGTCTCCCTTGAGTCTCTGGGATCTGAGTTTGGGTTGCGCGGACTGGTCCGCTGAGTTTCTGCCGGTACCGGTGACTGCAGAAATCACGTCTAAGACAAGTGAAGGCAACAAGGTCAAACGAAAAACCAAGCATACTTGTAGCAGCGCCCGACTCTACAGGTCTCCTCTGGTGGCTGAAATGGAGACTTAAAAGTGGCAGATGGTGACCTGTTGGAGGGTCCAGCTATGTACCTGTATAGGCAGGCTAACTGTAGCCGGAATCCACCAAAAGCAGAGAACATCCAGCGGTTCTCTGTTGGGCCCCGGTGCACAAGAACAGCAAACTACGCGAGTTGTCGGGTGCACGCTCCGAATCGACTCGTCGGGTTCTCGGTGCGCGCGACGAATCGGAATCAGGAACCGAACCCACCCTGTGTCAATGGAGCATGCATTGGTCTAAGGGACATTGATGGAATCAAGGGATGATTTTATGGACACTGGAAAATTGTCATTTGGCTTTGTGCCAATGGATTGATTTAAGGGAAAATCGACTGGACACCATAGCATTGACCCCCCAAAACCATGGGTAGTTTCCTGCAAGTATCTGTAAGTAGATTGTCCATTGAACCAAAGCTGGGAGTGTGCCCTCATTTATTTCATGCCCAGTTGTGCTTCCATAACGAACCGGATTCTGTCCAGTGAACGTGCTTCTGTCACCCGCTCACCTGGCTCACCTCGTCCCCGCAAGAATCCCCTATTCTCCACGCACCGAAGACACGCCCCGGAAACGCCCGGCAACACCGCCTTGCGGATGACCCGCTTCCCCTGCCGCTCTTTCACATAGGTCGCTAAGGGGTTAAAGTTCATGGCCTGAACACGGAGCATCCGTCCATCCGTCGGATTTCGTCGTCGGGTCCAGTTGAGGGGGACGAATTCAACGCACGTTGAAGGATTGCGCAGTAAAACAACACGACTTCAGGGCTTGCATGAAAAGTATAATTTGTGTACAGTATATCCCATTACCAATAACGGTCTGATTCCCTGAGATTCCATTCAAAAAAAAGCTTAACCTTTGTCCATCTGTTCAATCTCTCAAGCCATAACTCGTGATGGACTATAGACACTCCGGACGTATAGTGAAAAAGAAGTCACACATGTACCCCTAGGGCTCCTGGCCCATATCCTCAGGTTCGGTGGTTAGACCCCCCTGGCACCCACCCCAACCATCTTCTCAGGAGGTGGTTGGAGCCCTAGGGTACAGAAAGTCACAAAACCACCCAATGAATTGTCTTCTCGCACCGTAGTCATCCAGCGGGAAATCCCAATCCATCTGATCCATCTGTTCCATCTGCCTGGGTAGGGAAACCAATCCCCCAAAGAGTTTTTGCAGGTTATCCACTGACTACCCCTGCCTGGGTAGGACGTGGATGACGGTGGTGACCCTTTCTCAACCAACAGTTGGACCAACAATGATAACTGTTTATATACTGACTGTAACTGGTACTGGGACACACCCATAAGTTATGATGTTGTAGGATGGTTCTGCTGTTGACGCACATTGTACCACTCTCTTCATGGTCCATGGCGGTCCCCCTGAACAGAATAGATCAAAACCTTCCTGGTCTATCAATGAACATTGAACCCCTATGACATCCTATGACTATGATAGGATGACCACTCAAACCTCTGGAGAGGTCACCACAAAGGTTTCACCAGCCTTCTCGTGGATTCCCCTTCTCGGAAACAAGCATCCCTCCACCGAGTCTCCAAGAATGTTGCTGATGATTCATCAATATTCATCAGACCCCCGCACATGGGCAGAGTGGGGGGAGTTCTGGTTCATGTTCCGAACATTATGCCTTGGACCATCGACCATGATTCAGTCGACGCGCTTTTGCTACATTGGACCCCAAATCAACTCACCAAACACCCGACGTCCCATCAAACATCCGAGCCGCCTCCTCCTTGGAGTGAGCTGATCTTCGTGGCTGTTATTCTATTGGCAACTTCAAACGCTGCGGAGAAATACTGCGGAAACGGACCACGAACCGTTGTTTTCCCGCAAGAAGGAAGGTACCGCTTCGCCCATGTTCGTGGCGGTCACCTGAGCAGATGGGCCATTCGGAGCCCCAGCTGACCTTCCACCAGCGAAGGGCCCCGAGTGCGATCTGTCAACGGTCCAAGAAGGAGGTCAACCCCGATCTCCAAAGCCTGAGATCCCCGACCCAATGGGCTGTGGATATCGGAGATAGTGAACCCAGATATCGGATATTATAATGGAGATCCCCAACCCAATGGGCTCATCTTGGGTTGGGTAGTGAACTTTCAGATCCATGAAGATCCCGAATCCAATGGGCTTTGGATGGTCTATGTTGGTCTATGTTCTTTATGTTCAAGGCTGTCTTTGGATGGTCTCCATTCAAAAAGAATCGGAAAAATACATCCATTTATGGCCTATAATATATTTGAACATCACCGCTTTGAACCCGACCTCCGGTGGACTCGCACAGAACCGCCCCTGCAGATGGGTTGCCCACCTTCGGGGGGATGATTTGTGTTACTCCGAAACGAAGGCAAACATTGCCATCCCATAGGATGGGTCAAATTTGTTGAGAATAGCAAGAGCAATGGTCTGGATAATGGGGTCTGGAGTATGTATAGTCGTTTCCTCATGTTTCATCAAGTGTAAAGTGCTCAAGTTCTAAGCTTTCTTGCATGAGGCATGAGGTTGCATGGCCAAATGTTCGTCCACTGCCCTCAGCCTGCGTTTTCCCATGTAAGGACAACCACGGTCGCAAACCACTGGAAGAAACGTTGCGGTGCAGGTGCCCTTCAACTCCTTCCACATCCCGAAAATGGACCGTGAATGACGATTGATCTATGATGATCTGGGCACCACCAAGCGCAGCAAGTACTCAAGAAACCCAGGAAAAAAGGGCGTGGCCGTCCCTGACAAACAAACCATCAAATGGGTGCAGTCTCTTAAACATGGATTGGCTATGTTAGCCATGTTGACCGGACTGTCTATATTTGGATCCTGTGAGTTGCTGCTTCGGTGTCCACCATGCTCGTCAGCCCAACTCTGTAAGCTCTAGTACAGCGGAATTATAACGCTGCCTCCCTCAAACAGTCAAAGTGGAATAGACCCCTGAAAGATCCTTCAACTCAACCATGGGGGATCTCTTCCACCATTCCGTCTTCGGCCTTGCACCTTCGGCTCCTGCCTCACCCGTCCCACGTCCCACGCTCTCTTTCCGCAGCCGCAGAACACCCGTCATCCCACCACCCGTCAGCCCATTCTGCCGACGGATGGTCCGGCCGGAGGGGCTCTGTACAACGGGCGTCTCGGCGCGGCCACGAAGGGGATCTATCTTTGTACAGCGCCCTCATCCGTCCCCTTCAGCCTCCCGCCGTCCGCGCTTCCGCGGTCGGACCATCGAAAGACCACGAGCACGAGGTTCAGGTGTTGGCCATGTTGGTGTCAGGACACCAACATGCCATGTTTTCAGGATCCCAACATGTTGTGTGACAATTTGCTGTTTGGCTCTTGACGACCTGGTTTCCTTTTGCTATCCCAACCATGCCAAGATACAAACACCAAACAGAATCAGCCACCCGTACCACACGGCATGAGGCGTCACGGCGGGCACTTCGGCCGTCACAGGCGTCGGACCGAACGGCGTTCTCTTCGACCGGGCACGACCAGCTCCTGGGGCCAAACCACTTTAAGGACCCGTTGGAAGGCCTTCACTTGCTTGTTCTGGGACACATCATGACACATCTACCAGAGAACGGCTTTTTTTCCTGCCTGACCTTGAGACGCGCACCATGCGTTCTTCGAAGTGAAGACTGTTCTTGGTCATGGTCACTCCACTCAAGTCAAAAGCCTTTGGATCATTCTCATAGACCTGGTCGTCAAAAGAATCCACTGAAACCCGAGGTCGTCAAAAGAATCCACTGATACTAATCAAATATACTATATACCTGGACCCTCCAACAGGTGTTTCCTGGTGACAACAAATGCCCAGCAACCACCTGTTAGGGTCTTCAAACAGCCTGTTGGAGGGTGCTGGTACATATACAGTACATATACGTAGGATTGAATCCCTGCAAAACCATGTCTAGCAGGTGCCCATGGCCACCGCCCCCACCTCTCCACACCGCGGCTGGCCTCGTGGCTGGGACTGGGAGAGCCTCGGCAGCTCCGACGCTCCGACGCTGAGGGGGCGAAGACCCGGACCAAAAGGTACGGCAATGGTCATTTGACGTGGTCAGAAGGAGCAGAACGGATGCGCTTAATGAGCGAAAACCCCTGCGTTTTTTGTGGTTCAAATGTCTCCTCAAATTGGGTGACCTGGCTTAAAGGTCTGCAATTCGGGAGCGTTGGTCCATCGCAGTATCTAGCCGTATACTTGAACATCCCTAAAATGCATGAATAGTTCCAATTGAAATTGGCGCACTGTGCTGAGTGACGCTGCCAACACTTAATAGAGTATCCAAGTCATGCCTATCACAAACGAATGACAAAAGCAAGCCGGGAGGCCTACCAATTCACAAGATGTTCTAGCTCCGAACCGACGGCTGGTGGGTTCCAGGATTCCACCGTCAAAGCTGAAATGTCATTCATTCCAAACTTAGCGAAGTTCTGGTGTCCCAAATGTGTTGGAACCACATCGCCACTGCAACACCCCCCCAAAGAAAAGAAGAACATGTGTCCTCAGTTGCACAAGTGACTCACAACTTGAATCAGGACCCACGGTGCGGGTGGTTAGACACCCCTCAACATCCTGGATACCTCTTTTTGGGGTTATTAACCAAAAACATCAAACAGGTGTTTTTACATAAATATAATTCTTCAGAAATCGATTTTTCCCTAAACCCAACAGGGTTTCCATGTTCGGAGTTGATGGGTTTGTGACCAGATGCTGGACTGAGACGGGTTCCAATGCAACCCAATGCGTTCGGTACGAGCTGCACCCGCCTCGAGCACGACCGCGCCAGGCGGCCCCGACTCCACACGACTGCTGCGGCGGCGCTCCGCATCAAGGAGGAAGCCTCAGTGACGGCATAGAAGCGGGCGGGCCATGGGCGGTCGTTTAGGTTTAGGTTTGAGAGCTCTTTGGGGTCAGGGGTTAGGGTTAGGGGTTTATTCCTGGTCAGGGGTTGGTTTATGGTTTAGGGTTTTGAATCAGGGTTAGGGTTCGCCAACTCGGAACCAGTGCCGATGAACACATTTGCCATGGGTTTCCCCTGCTGCCCGCTTGGCTGTCAGTTCGGCGTGCCATTCTTTGGCTTTGGCTCTGTTCTGGCCCACGGGGCTTACTAATCCAGCACAAGGTCTCTGGCAGCAATTTGCAGCCAATATGCTTGATCCTCCTCCAACCAGTGCCCAGTGTGGGCAATCATCGCGGTGCCATTGTTTTTTTGTGCTGCATCCGCAGTACTCAAAAGCAGCGCTAGGGCTCGGCATTCAGGGCACTTCCTGTCCCCAAACTTCAAGGGGGTCAACTTGTGTAGCTGTAGGGGGTCAACTTGTGCGCCAAGGCAGCGGAGATCATGAACGGGTCATTGTTGGATCTCAGAATTCACGAAAACAGAAAAGGAGGACATTGTGTGAGTGATATGAATGAGGTGAGAGAGGTCAGGTGAGGTGGGGTTGGTCCGGAGGTGAGGCTAGGGGCTGGTGAGCTGGTGCAGGGCAACCTTTTTTCACGTTTGAACCCTTTTTTTTTCTCACCCCGCCCTCTTTTTTCCACCCTTCACCTTTCCTTTTCACCCTCTGAGTCTTCCCTCGAACCTTCTTTTTTCACCCTCTACCTTTTTTTTTTCGACCCTCGACCCTTTCTTTTTCGCCCTCCTTCCTTTGC